TTTATATTCTATCCAGCTATAGCAGGCGGTACAAGAGTTCAGTACCGGTCCTAAACCTGCTTTGAATCTTCCTTAGAGCGCTAGTGCAATGTACTTCTTGAGTCTTACTCTAAAGGTTTTTCTCATTTTCTGTTGATGTTACATCAAGAACAGCTGTGGAGTTCACTTAGAACTCACGCGCATATAACCCAGGAGAGCAATTATCCATGGAAGAAGTATTTTACAAACATGAGAAGAATGGGTAAGTAGACGCATTGCCCTTTCCTTCCCAGATGGCTGTTCCTAGGATATATTTGAAGACCATGTGCAGACACGGTTGACCAACATGTTTCTTGTATCCCTGTCCAAGTGACTGTCCCTCTTGATGTTGTCTCCCCTTTCCCTGCTTTGCTCTTCCTGTTCTATCACCAAGCTCCTGGATCACAGACCCCAGTCAGTACTTGTACTTACGTTATTGTTTCAGGCTCTGCTTTCTAGTAATTGCAGAGAAAGATAATTTGTGTTAAGAGTGGGGTGGTGATACTTAATGTACACTAAACTGATCTTCTGTAGAAAAAAAAAAAAAAAAAAAAGGAAATTATCAATTTCCAAACTTGACTCTCACTGGGATTAAAACATGACAATAGGTCTGATCTGATTCATCATCATTTAAAAAAATCATCTATTATTTTTGCACTTTATGTTTCTGTGTGGAAGCAAACTGTGAAATACTTACTTAAAGGTATACTAAGCTGATCTTCTGTATATTAAGATAATCGAAAATGAATCTTGATGTGAATGGAAGGGGAGAGGGAGTGGGAAAGGGGAGGGTTGTGGGTGGGAGGGACGGTATGGGGGGGGAAGCCATTGTAACACATGAGTCGTACTTTGGAAATTTATATTAATTAAATAAAAGATAAAAAAAAAAAAACAAATAAAAAAAAAACAAAAAGGATCTTGTAGAGGTATTCTTTCAGTAAACCTGATTCTTAGCTCGGTAATTTACAGATGCTTGTCATTGATTTAGATTGCTTTGAACTAACTTCTACATTTAAAAGAAACATTTTTCTCATAGTATGCACTTGAATTATGGGGCAAATAATAATGAGTACCTTCTACTTTTACAGTGCTTCAAAGTTAAGAAAGGCTATTAGGTATAATATCTCATATCTTATTTAATCTTTATGATAGGGTTATGTGTTGTGATCTTCAATTTTTAAAAAAGATTTTTTTTTGAAAGGCAGAGTTACAGAGAGAGAGAGGGAGAGAGAGATTGATTGATTGATTGATCTTCCATCTGGTGGTTCACTCCCTAAATGACGACTGCAACAGGCAATGCTGGGCTAGTCCAAAGTCCAAAACTTGGAACTCCATTTGGGTGTCCCACGTGGGTGGCAGGGGCCCAAGCATTTGGACCATCTTGCACTGCTTTCCCAGGTACCTTACCAGGGAGCTGGATCAGAAGTGGAACAGTTGAGATTCAAACTGGTGCTGCTGTGGAATGCTGGTGTCACAGGCACATTGCTGTGCCGCAATGCTGACCCCATCTTCATTTTAAATAAGGAAGTGAAGGTTTGGA